ATTGTGTACTGATTTCCCGCCTGCTGTCCATTTGTTTGTATTCTTGAGTGCTCTTTAGTTTTCAACCACTTAACTCCTCTCTACTTCATTGATGAAAAAAATTACACAGCTCATTTTGTCATCAGAGATTAAATAGAATAGTACATAGAAAAACATACAGAACAGTGTGCAACACAGGTGATATGCTGAACAAGTATTTTATTATTCCACACAACTCATTTCTTGAGCACTTTGAAGCAGACAGTTAGATATGGCAGCTATTTTACTACTGCTGTTATTACTATTACTAAAAAGTAGTAATAGTAAACCAAAAAAGTAGTTTTGGTTTCTTTAAAACACACACACACACACACACACACACACACACACACACACACACACAGAAAAGCTGGTCATGGCGGTACATGCCTTTAACCCCAGCACTCAAAGAGGCAGAGGCAGGAGGATTGCTGTGAGTTCGAGGCCAGCCTGGAGTCCAGTACAGCCAGGGATTAAACAGAGAAATCCTAACTAAAAAACAAACAAACAAACAAACAAAGGAACAAAGAAACAAACAACAAACAAAACAAAACCCAAAGAAATAGTATAGGAATGTTTTTGTTTTAGTCCCAGGTGTGGGGATAAGAGGCTGTTTCACTTCATGTGACTATGATTTGCCTTGTGCTCTAGCAAGGGTATGGTTTTGACATCGCAGATAGTTTCTACTGCTGTGTGACTTTTGGAATTCTGGGAACTTTTCAGCGGATAGAAATGCTAGAACTCTGATGGGCTGGATGTTGCTGGTCGCAGTTTGTCAGGTAGTTGTGCACAAAGGGATGAGAAGAAGAAATTAGATGTCCTGCCAATGGAGATCAAACGTGTCTCCAGGAACTAGATGCCCCTAATCAGTAGGAAGCAGTCTAATGCTAATTTCAACCCATTCTGTCTATCCTTTTAGTCTCTCCTATCTAGTGTTAGGGGTTTGGAAGAGTACAAGAAAAGAGATGAAGAAGGGAGGGAGAAAAAAGAACCCACCCCTCCACAGATGTAGCCCATGGCAGTTCAGTGTCCAAGTGGGTTCCATAGTAATGGGAAGAGGGACTGCCTCTGACATAATCTGATTGGCCTGCTCTTTGATCACCTCCCCCTGAGGGGGGAGCAGCCTTACCAGGCCACAGAAGAGGACAATGCAGCCACTCCTAAAGTGATCTGATAGACTAAGATCAGAAGGAAGGAGAGAGGGACCGCCCCATCAGTGGACTTGGGGAGGGGCATGCGTGAAGAAGGTGGATGGAAGGTGGGATTAGGAGGGGAGGAGGGAGGGGTTTATGGGGGGATACAAAGTGAATAAAGTGCAATTAATAAAAATAAATAAAAATTACAAAAAGAACCCACAAAGTAGCAAACACAGCTACAAACAACAGCGTGGGGAAGGTATGTGTGAGTGGTTAGTGACAATGAGGGCACACCTAGCACAACAATTCTGAATCTACAATATTTGACTGGCAGTTTCACTGTTCTTTCTGTGACTTCATGTTTCTTAGCTAATGGAAGAAAAGCAAAGAAGTGGCATTTGAATCTAGAAGATCCAGTGCTACAACACAGACAATGACGAGCTGAGCTGGAGAGACGGGTCAGTGGCAAGAAAGCGTCATAATCTTACAGAGGATCTGAATTTTGCTTCTCAGCACCCTAGTTAGTCAGATTACAACTCTAGGTCCAGGGGATCTAGCACACTCTCTTGCCTCTGGGTAAACACACACACACACACACACACACACACACACACAAAGAGAATTACAAAGGGTCTATTAGTTTTCTTTTGCTATTGCAACAAATTGCTATAACCTTAGTGATTGAGCACAATGACGCCCTATGGTTTCAAAGCTCTTACTTTTGCGTTCTAGCACACTGGGGTCTCTGGGATAAAATCAGACCTTAATTATAGATTCTGTTCCTGTCTGGAAGCTCTACAAGAGGGACTGTTTCCTTGCCGGTTTCAGCTTCCAGAGGCGCTTGCATTCCAGCCTCCATCTCCACGGGCAACAGCGGTGGATCAAACTCCTATACTGAACCGCTCTGCCCTCCCCTTCTATGAGGGCATATTTAAGAATCAGGGTCACTTAAAAGTTTGGGTCAGGACTTTTTGTAAAGTCCTGATTCTCTGTTTCATTAACTTTGGCACTTTCCTCTGCTCCCTCTCCTTTTCAGGGGCCCTTTAATTATACTGAGTCCACCAGGATAGTCGAGGATAATGCCTGCATCTTAAGGCCAGCTGATTGCTAACCTCAGTTCCACTGGTAATATTAATTCCACACAAGATGACATCTTGCTCTGTGTCCAGTATTAGTCTGTAAATGCTTTTGGCAATTTGCTATGCTGCTTCTTAGGCCGGGTGGGGCTAGTGAATCCTCAGGCAATAGTGGCCGAGGAGGAAATGAAGAAGGGAACATGAGGATGGATGGGACTTCAAATGGAAGCAGTGCAAGTGTAACTGCGAACTCCGCTAAGTATTGTCGATTCACATTAATCTTGTCAGTAAGCTATGCTTGGAGGCTTGTGCCTGTTATCTTTCTGACCTCACTTCTCCAGTGCGGCAATAGTAACAGGGGTCAGAGGCTGACACAAAAGGATTGTTAGGAGTCCGAAGACAGGTTAAGCTACATGAGTGAGGACTGGTTCAGCCTATGCTGCAGTAGGAAACCCTGCAGCAGGAAACAACACTAGCAACAACAAAATATTGGCATGCATACATACAGTAAGACACCGTGTGCTGTGCTTTGTAAACAAAAATGCTCCTATTTTGTACTTTGGTGATTTTATTGTTCAACTTGACTATAGGCACTTTCATATATTTCTGTTAAATCTTGTCTTCTAACTCACAGTTCAACATTCAAAACAATTTCCTTTTCCATTTGGGTCTTTGATCACATTTTTGATGCTATGTAGTTTTTGTTTTCTGCTTGGACTTGATCATAAAGAATTCTGTGTTTTCATCTATGCAATTAATGGGAAAAAATACCAAAAAAACCCCAGTGCACAATTATATTAATTAACTTTGAATCTGTCTAATTATGTTAAACATTTAATTTGGTGTCCTTCCCATAAAAATATCACAAAAGTTAACAACTAAGTATTTTGCTGAAGTGAATCTATGTCATGATTATAAAATTTCACACTAACTCAGGGTTAAGTAAGCAAATATGTCCTCTTTTAGTTGGCCTTGTTTCTAGTGACCGCTGACGTATTTAGTGATCTATTCTGAAATTACAGTTGTCCGATCAGAAGCTGCCAGTGTCTCCCCTCTTCTGTGATCTGTTGTCTTTCACGTTTTATAGTCTTTCAGACCTTACCAGCCACGGGTCTTGAGTTACCTGTAAACAGCTGTGGGATGTACTTCGTGCCTGGAAACATGAACTTATTTGAAACAGATAGGTGTCTTCTTACTCCTGCCTCACCTATCTCAAGTTTCAATTATCTTTCTGCGCTCCAGTTGTACCAATTTAAAGCCCATCTCCTTTTCCAAAGTAGAAAAGAAAATTCAGATGGAGGCAAGCCTGTCTTAACCAAGACAAGGGGTAAATTGCTACCCCTATGTTTATAAATGTCTAGGGTAACTGACTCTTCTCTGCTTCCTAGTATGTGTTTATTCAACCAGTCCTCCCACCTTTTCTTAAAATTACCAGATAGCTCTAGCTCTTAACAATTTATTCCAGATAATGCAACAACGAAACAGATATCATTTTCCATTTTGGCTGAGTTCTTCGTTATTGTTTCTGTTTGTTTCTTAGATGGGTCTTCACTAGTTGTCACGCTGATTTCTACCTCAAGGGCTCAAGAGAACTCTGTACTCAGCTTTCCCAGGTCTCAGACTATTAAGTTCCTTTTGTTTCAACTGGAAGAAGTTGGATTTATTTATAATTTAGAGACAGGGTTTTTCTCTCTTTATAAACTCAGTTGACCTTGAACTTATTATCCTCCTGCTTCAGCTTCTAAACTGCTTTTCAAACACCAGACACTGTCGAGCCTTGCAGCACAACCCCTTAATACTAGCTTAGCACTTGGGTGGTAGAAGCAGGAGGATTAGAAATTGGAATCCAGATTTGGTTACATAGGGTATCTGAGGCCAGCCTGGGGTATATAAGACCTTGGTTAAAAAAAAAAAATTAAAACAAATAATCAACAAACAATCAAAATCCAGATATTTGGCAAATACTTGTTGGGTGACCAAGTTTTTTAAACATTGATTTGACTTTATAGTTTTTAAACATCATTCTCTTTCACAACTTTCTTTCTTTCTCTTTTTCTCTCCATTTAGAGAAGGAAAAAGGATGAAATAACTCACTTTCCCCTTTGTGAAATGAAACATTTGTGACAACAGTCATAGTATTAACAGCTAGAAACATCAAACTGAAGTTACCATCACCACAAGTTCCTTTGGCTGCCTTCCTACCGACCAGCTACAACCATTAATCTTTTCCTGAGCCATTCAACAGTCCTTTAGACACAGTTGGTACATAGTCAAGATTCATTTTTTTCTACTCTGATAGCCTGGTCTGAATTTTTTTCTTTTCTTTTCTTTTCTTTTCTTTTCTTTTCTTTTCTTTTCTTTTCTTTTTTTTCTTTCCTTCCTTCCTTCCTTCCTTCCTTCCTTCCTTCCTTTCTTTCTTTCTTTCTTTCTTTCTTTCTTTCTTTCTTTCTTTTTTTTCGGTCATGCATTGTGCAAAACCAAGGTTATCTGGTGAAATTCTTTCCAATTATATCTATTCTTGAAGCCACCCTACTTCTCTTGACATCTCTCTTAACTTCCAGAATGGCAAATAACAGTAACGGTTAGTAAGGTTTTAAATGATACGTACTGTTTCCAACATACTGATAACCACGTTACATACTATACCACCATACACTATCAGGCAAAAAGTTGCTATAATGATGACTTAGTTACTGCTCTCTTGATGTGAGGAGACATCTTGAACAAGGTAATTTATTAAAGAAAAAAATTTAATTTGGGGGTTGCTTACAGTTTCAGAGGGTTAGTCCATGACCATCATAGTGGAAGCATGGTAATAGGAAGGCAGGCAGGCAGGTCACTGGAGCAGTAGGTGAGGGCTCACATCTGATCTTCCAGTTGCAGGCAGAGAGAGAGAGAATGAGACTGAGGCTATTGTGGGCTTTTGAAACCCCAAAGTCTACTTAGTTCTTCCAACTGGGAACCAGACATTCAAATATATGATCCTACAGGGACCATTTTCATTTGAATACCACAAATGGTTTAGTAATTTTAGCTTTAGCAAAATGACCTAGAAAATCCATTTAAATAAGTCTAGCAAGCAAAAAATAGTAACACACACATAGCAATTGTTCATGGGGTTCTAGGTAGCAAGATTTAGTCTCATACTCCCCATTAAATATTGTCAAGAATTGTGGCCCACTGTTAACTTCCTATAGCTTGGAAGCTTTTAAAACTTCTATGATCTGTGAACTCCCATGTGGTTCATTTGTCTTTACGATCTATTAATGAGATGTGGGGATTTCAGTTGCCACCATGACAACCAAGACGTGCATATTGCACGCTTCTATTTCCTAGATACAGAAACGCAGAAGGGAGCATCTTTCTCACCAGCTGCTGTTTCAATACCAAGACCTTGCAATTGTGGAAATTTAGATAAAGATGGTGTGGCGAACATTTGATAAGACACAGTCTGAAAAATAACTTGCTCAGAGGCAGTAAAATATGCCATAAACCACACATCAATTCGTAACAATCTTTATTTAAAACATAATGCTTGTTTTTTTTTTTATGTCATTCTCACAAGCCTGTAATTTAGTTGTCCATCTTATAAAATGGTGTGTGTGTGTGTGTGTGTGTGTGTGTTTTACTGGGGATTAAAGCCAGGACCTTATGCTGTTAGGCAAGCAGTCTGCCACTGAACTACAGGTCCAGCCCTGTAACATAATTTTAATATTTTCTGTTTCTATGCATGAGATTTTGTTGGGTGAGTAGAGATATTTTGTGAAGATAAAAAAGTATTTACACGTAATCCAGCACTCAGGGAGGCAGAGGCAGGCAGATCTTTGTGAGTTTGAGGCCAGCCTGCTCTACAAATTGAGTCCAGGGCAGCGGAGGCTACACAGAGAAACCCTGTCTTAAAAAACAAAACAAAACAAAATTTACATACCATTTCTTGTATGTGTTTTCACTCATCAGTAGTATTGCTAGCAACATTTACCATGGACTATGTGACCCCTCCATGAGACCTGAAAATTTAAATTGGTGTCAGAAAAAGCTCTTAATTTCAGACTACTTACAATGGAGCTGAAGGGATTAGCACGCAAGAAAGTGAAGTGGATAGTTTGGTGTAGTGTGACGTTGAGAGGAAAAAGATAAGTTGTCAGGATGATGAGAATTGAAGTGCAAGTGTAGTGCATGATAGGGGACACGGACAAGCAGGCAAAACACCCAGACATATATAAAGCAAGACTGATTCTACAGATTTGGTTTAAATTTGAGAAGTACACACACATACACAAAAGAAAGTAAAAATATGCACGAATGATGTTATGATGGTCACACTCTCGGAATTTAAAAGGCTTGAAAGTCACTGTGCAACACATAGCATCTGCGTCTGCACCGCACAAGACCCGTTCAAGAGCAAGACAGCCAAAATCCAGCAGGAACGGTGTGTGTGTGTGCGTGTGTGTGTGTGTTATGAATTGGCAGTTGGTGGCTTCTGGAGAAGAAAGGATCAGTTTTCTTCAGGGATGTGTAATTTTGGTATTGTGACCTTTACTTTGACCTTTCCTTACTTTGGACCACTGCTTAGATCACTTTGGGTAACGAAACTCCAAACAGATAGCATTTTAAGCAAAAACTAAGTGTGGTATGTAACCTCTGCCAGAGGTCCTATCTCAAGACTTCGGAATAATACAGGCTTTGTCACACTTGCGGATTTTTACGAGGATATTTGAAGGAAGCAAAAGCATCCTCAATAGCAGGATGCGAAGGGGCTCGGCCTGACGCACTGAGAAGGGAAGGCAGCAGTTAAAAGAAATGAGGACGTAGCAAGCAGGAGGAAGGAGTGGCAGAGAGACTTCTACAAACCCTTTAAATGCAAGGAAGCAGAGGCAGATGGGAGGGTGGAGGCCTCCAGGTCGTGCTCCAGGAGGCCCGCAGGAGTCGCCCCAAATCCATGGAGCTTCAAAAGAAAGCGTGGCAAGCCGGGCAGGAGGCTCAGCGCACTGGAGCTTGAGTCAGCAAGACCCGCAAGGCTCGCCTACCCCTCGGAGCCCCGCCCCCCGTGGCCCCGCCCCCCAAGCGCGCTCCCATCTGGAGTTCCGGGAGCACGCGCGCCCGGCCCTCAGGTGCATTCCGGGGAGGGTCAGGGGGCGTGGCCTGGGCGTGGCGCGCACCGGGGGGCGTGGCCTGGGCGGCGCGCGCCGCTCTCCCTGCGTCGCCTGGCAGCGGGCGGACGGGCGCGCGCTCTCGGTGTCGCGTCCCGGTCCCCGCCGTCTCCACACGGAATTTCTGAGCTCCGTCACTCCGCGCCGTCTCCGCGGCTCCGCTGTCGGCGCTGCGGCCGAGACGCCGGCGGGAGAGGACTCCGAGGCCCGCGGCCCTCGAGACCTGCGGCCGGGGCCATCGGCGTCTGCGCTGAGAGGTGACGCGGCGGCGGGGACGGCCGCGCAGCGGGGGGCCGAGGAGAGGGTGTGGCAGGCCGCGGGGAGCCGAGGGGCGCGGCTTCTTCGGGGTGCCGGCGGGTGGCGGGCGCTGACGGGGACCCCCGGCCGTGGGGTCGGCGACGTGGAGCGTTTCCATTCTCAGAGCTTCGGGAGAGGCAAAGGGGGAAAAAAAACCCTGAAAAAATAACAATAATAATCATAAAACCCCAAACCAAACCTCCTAGTTTCCCCCCTGAGGGCTCAGGAGCATCGTCACGCCTGGGGGTTCAGGTTGCCTGGCGGCGGGGTGATGTGTGACTCGGGGCGGGAGGAAAATCCGCAGAGCTCGTGACCTGGGTTTGGGGCTGTAAATATCCGAATTCCCCCCAAACATAACGAAGATTCCCCGGCGTGCAGTGTTTCAGGGAGGAGGAGAAAGCGAGGTAGATGGGGGGTCGGTCAGCGGCCTCCTTTTGGGACGATCAGAGTTGAGGGTTGAGACAACGTTTTAAGATGCTTTTAAAAGTCTGAGGGCAAGCATTAAGGACATTCTAGCTCCCAAGATGAGGTTAGATCCTGGCTTGGTGCCAGGGTCAGTTATTACTTCATTTGGACAGCAGCTCTGAGGTTGGAGAGGGTACTCTAGTTGAGCAGATGTGGGAAATGGGTCGTAAAAAGGTTAAATAACTTTATTAAGGTCCCTGCTAAGGGGGGTGGGGAATGAGGTGCTGAGATTCTCCCTCAGGGATGCCAGACTCCTTAATCCTGGTGCTTTCCCCATTATATTTTATGTTTGCCCAGAGAGTATTTTAATGTGTCTTCAGAGAAGATTCAATAGATGAGAACATTATTAAGACATTTTGGGTGTATTTACCCTGAAATCAGACTTCAAATAAATTGATCTTTGAGTGTGGGTTGTTTAATGGGATATGTTCTTGATAATGCACAACTTCAGATGATATTAAACATAGGAAATCTTAAGTTCAGCATAACTTTATTAGCAATACATTGCATGTTTATTGTCTTTTACATTCCAGATAGTAATTTTGTTCCTAAAGTACCTAGATGTAATGTTTGCCATTGAGTTTAATTGAAAGAGTAATTATATAAAAGCATTTCATAATAATATAAATTGTAATACTCACTAGTGTGAATTAGATTGGAAATAGTTTAAAGTGCAAACTTTAAACTTTTACACAGTGCAAACTTAATATTTTTATAAATATTATATATAAGAAAAGCTATTAGCTCACTTGCCATATGGGTGTTACTGCATCATTTTCTCCAGCAAGACATACAGTCATAAAATTTAGGTTAGACTTTATTGGCATTTCTATTTTATTATGTCTCCATGTTCAGTAAATTTTAAAAGATCAGTGAGAAGAGCATTTATTATTGATCTTCTGTTGAATTTAAAGGTTTATAATATCTATTGAGAAGCCAGCAATGTAGTTGGATAGGATTTTCTTTCAGTACATTGCTGGATAGGTTTACAGCTCTTCTCAAAAAAATTAAGTCTTAATTTAAAAGTACAGTTAAAACTAGATTGCATTTAAGCTTTTGTGGCTTAGCTTTCTAAGGAAAAGGAAGTCTTTAGTTTAGGCTGCCATGGCACATGTTTAAAATGTGCAATATTGCAGGCATAGATAGATGTAGGCTGGATGGATAGATGTAGAAGTGGATGGAATAGTGGAGAAATTTCTTTGGATAATGTCTGTTTTCTCACTAGAGGAGGAATCCAGATCACAGTTTGAAAGTGATGCTAGAGCTAGGCATGTGGGAGGTTGGAGGAGTGGGAAAGTGGATGGATTTGTACAGTGTGATTGGCAGGCAGTGAAGCACTTGCCCTTGGATGTAAAGGTGCAGAGGAGGATTAGAGGTGTCGCCTGGGTGTGCACCAAATTAGTGTTTAATTTTGCACAAAAGGTATTTCACAATCTGTTTTCACTTTCTGTCTTTGCATTGTTGTCTAGGGCATAGACCCATACTCTGCCCCAATTCATTTTGCCTTCTGCCTCCACTATGTTCTGGATATATCTCTGTTCCGTATTTTACACAAATCAAGTCTTTTGGGAATTCAGCTTTTCCATACTTTTCTCTCTGCTTAGACATTCTGTCTGGCCAGTGGGTGGTGGTGGCGGTGCATGCCTTTGATATCAGCACCAGGGATGTAGAGGCAGGTGGATCTCTGAGTTTGAGACCAGCCTGGTCTACAGAGTGAGTTCTAGGACAGCCAAGGCTGCACAGAGAAACCCTTGTCTAGAACAACAACAACACTCCCCTCCCCACCCCTAAAAAATTCGGTTTGACCCTTTTTTAACTCTTTCCCTCAACTGGAATTGTAACATTTCATTCAATTTGATTTATATCAACTTAGTTATAGTAATATACCTTTTTTCTATTTTGTGCAGGAATTCTTTAGAAAATGTTAGAAAAGTGACCCACTTTTTTCATTTACTTCTTTTACAACTGATAAAAGAAATTAGTAAGTCTTTTTGGATAAAGAGTACGGGGTAAATCTTTTAGATTTTGAAGACTGAGTAGAATCTGTCTCAGCTTAAATCTGCCCTCGTAGCACAAAGCAGTCCAAGATAACACATACCTGAATCAGCATGGGTATATTCCAGTACAACTTCATACATACATAAACCCTGAGATTTGAATTTCATGTTTTCACCTGTCACAGTTACCACTACTTGATATTTTTCCTCTAGCACTTAAAAATGTGAATATATGGGCTGGAGAGATGGCTTAGAGGTTAAGAGTACTGGCTGTTCTTCCAGAGGTCCCAAGTTCAATTCCCAGCACCCACATAGTGGCCAACAACCATCTATAATTAGAACTGGTGCCCTCTTCTAGCCAGCAGGTGTAAACGCAGACAGAGCATTATGTACATAATGAATAAATAAATCTTTAAAAAATATGAATATATGTTAAACAGATAGATCTCTGGTAGGTAATGGCCACCCAGGGCCATACAGTGAAACCTGTGTAGACCCCTACCCCCACAAATTGTTAACTCTGGGATTGTGCAGAACAAGGTGTGGGCTGGATATAGACACTACTGCCTTGTCCATCTTTGTTTTCAGACCCTTACTCTGTAAGGACTCTCAGGAAAAAGTTTGATAAAGGAATTTGTTTTAAGATAATTTTTGAATTTACCATTGGTGGTGTCAGAGACGCAAATAAAAATAAGACTCTTATTTTTCATTAAGGATCTTACAGGTTAGGCTCAAGATGAAGACATAGAAATGGTAACACAGTATTACAATTATATGTACTTAGAATAAAGGGAGAGTAAAGTAGTGGTAATTAGCTTTGCTTGAGTTGGCCAGACATGACCTCTGTCATCTTTTGGAAGTACAGAACAAATTTTCAGTTGAGAGTCTTTCCACGAATCTTTCAGATATGCTAAGAAGGTCATTGACCACATCTTGTCAGTGAATGCTCTGGATTGCTTAGTTTCTTTATATGATATAACCTTATATGATATAATTATATTGTATATGATATAATCTTCATAACTCAAAGATGTAAACATGGATTAAAAAATGGACTCCATATAATAAATTTTAATTTCAAGGTGTTTTTACCTCTTACAAAATAAAATGATATTGTTTATTCCAAAATATTTGGTGTATTATTAGCTAAAAATGCTTGACAGAGGTAATGGTAATATTGTATAAGTTAGAGATATTTTTTAAATGAACAGTCTCTTAAGAAAAGCACATTTATGGGAGAGGGAGGGGAGCAGAATGAAGGCTCATAGCTGTGAGATGACAGAGGCAGGATTCATGCTAGTTGATTTGGTTATAGGAAGAGAGATCAAGTTTGAGAATAGTAAGAATTTCCCATTAGTAGAAAGCTTAACAGCAGAAAAGTTAAGTTTTCATAAATGTCTTAAGGTAAATTCAGTTGCCATGACTTTTCAGTCTGAATCTCCATACTGCTAGAAAAAACTGTAATGAACGCAACTCCAGGGGTGTTTGCAGGAAGAAATGGAAATGGTGTTATGGTCTTGTTTTTGTTGAGAGGATCTAGAGTTCTTGCTTGTTATTATTAATTATTATTTTTTAAAAGACAGATATGATCTCATTATGTAGCCCCTGCTGACCTTGAACTCATTGTACAGACCAGGCTGTGTAGAACTCCAACTCAGAGAGACCTGCCCGTCTCTTCTGGCATTAAAGTTACACTCCACATACCCAGCCTGGATTTAGTTTTGTTTTAAAATGTTCTCACCAGTTGTGAAATGGACAGTTAGGTTTGTGAACTTTACCAGAAACTCAAATTTGAATTCAGGCGACAGTTCAAAGTAGTAAAAATATGAATCCAACTATTCTGTGGAAGATTTGGTAACTAAAAATGGAATGTTAAACATTCAATTTGAATTAATAATGGAGTGATGTTTAGAAAGTTGTGTTTTGACAGAAAACTTGGAAATGCTCATGCTGAGTTGGTTGATGTATGTTTCTGTTTGTTTTTGTAGCAAATTACCATTAAATGAATGTGTTTCTTCTTTTTTTTTTTCGGCCTAGAGATGATTATCAGTGTACTC